GCCAGATGAACTGACCAGGACGGCCCAATTTATGACAGATACCGGACTTCAAGTGTGATGCGATCGAGAAGACGAAGAAGAAGAATTTCTTTATCAAATTATGATGAAAACAATAATCTTATTAATAACAGAGGGTACAGAGACAAGTGGTCGCGGGTTGGGCCAGCTACTCTAGTTTAGTAACTGAAGAAAACTTCTCTAAGAATGTTTCTGATAAGCCTTTCACTTCGAACTCGACTGCTGCACTAGCAGACGACTGACGTTCTCAGAAAAGGATTGACCAAAAGTGGAACTAGACAAGGCACGTAACTCTAATAAAACAGATTGCACCCGAGCTGCACAGAAGGAAAAATGGGGAACTGGTCGCACTCAGGGCATGGTTGCGCCAAGGGCGGATGTCTCTAGATCTAGATTAAAAATGTTATTCTTCATTCATTGTTAAAAGGATTGTTTGCTACAGTCGAATATTTAGAATCTAGATTTCTAGAGTATTGTAGGCTAGGCCTCTAATCTACAGACTACAGAGACTCTATATCTAGGGCCCTGGGCTCCTCTCTACTTTACTCCTGACTCTCTTTGTCTAATGAAATGATAGGCCTAGATCTTCTTCCGACTCTTTCACTTTCTCTAATGTCTAATGAAATGATAGGCCTAGATCTTCTTCCGACTCATTCTCTAATGTCTAATGAAATGATAGGCCTAGATCTTCTTCCGACTCTTTCTAATGTCTAATGAAATGGTACTCCTGGTTCCTTCTTACTCAGTTACTGCTGTCCTTCAGCCACACAGGCCTATTGCCTGATCTTCGGGTAGGCCTAGGTAAGATTGAATCACTAGCCAAGTACCTCGGATCAGCATCATGTTTCCGTCGGGCTGCGGAGTGGGAGCTCTATTCCCTCCCCCGGGCAGGGTCCTTAGGGCCATGATGTCAGTGGCGTAAGTCATCAGGAAAGCAAATGAAACAAAACTCAACTTCAGACACAGCAATTTGAATTTTCACGTTTGGCCAAATAAGAAAAAGTTGATTGTGTAGGATTTCCGATGTGTCATGAATTGACTTGACCCACAGTCGACCTCTAGGAGTCGATGTTGTTGGATTTCTGATGTGTCATTGCGTGTGTTCTGGGGACGGAGGGGGAACGCTGAATGCACTTTGGTGTAAATCCAGTAGAGTCTGCGACTTAGCTTGACCTTGGTGTGGCACTGCATCGTCACTTGATTTTCTCCCATGGGGGGTAGCGAGACGGACGGGAGTAGATTGTATTGAAAGAGAAGTAGGCCCTGGGGGCTTGCTCTGCTGCACATGTTAAATCTCTGTGCGTTCCTCTTCCTAACTGTGGTAACTGTTCCATTACGAGCAGTTGCACAGGGCATGCTGATTGCTGTACACTTTGTAAAGCATGGAAGCGCCACATATATTTTTGACCAGTCATTTCCAATGAGACTTAAAATAAAAAGTTGTATAAAAAAGGAATATGAAGATGAGGAGTAAAAAAATCACTGGAAATGTAAAGAGCAATAACTGAATGGGTAGTAAGTAGCTAAGTGGATCCTGATGTCTGCTGCTACATGTCACGACCATGCCCCTGTGCTCAGTGCTGTGGCATGCGGAGGGTGCAGACAGATATAAAAGTGGGGGATCCTTTTTGAGCTTCAATTTAAATCTGAAGATGATGTCTTGAAACTTGGCTATTAACCAGAGTAGAGGACAAACAAAACATCTTTCGGTGCTGCCAATCTTCCGTACTTTTACAGAAATTATCTGTCGTTTCTGACAGGTCCGTATTTGCTCCCTCTTCGTTGTCAACTCCATTCGTAGAAAAGTGCGACAGCGTAGGGCTACAGAAATTCCGTGACATAGGGTCCGTACTCGCCTTTGTCTCGTCTTATATATTTAATACTTGTAAGGAAAGGTTTTTGTTTTATAGAAAAACATAATAACGATGCTGTCAAAGTGAATCTAATGAAGTGATGGAGTCCTTTTTTTCTGCTCTGCTCCTCAGGTTAATGTTGGCTGTGTCCCCAAAAAAGTGATGTTCAACACGGCGATGCACGCAGAGATCATCAAGGATCATCAAGGCTATGGGTTTGACGTGGAACTGAAGCGTTTTGATTGGGGGTGAGCAATATTGTCTTGTTTTGTATTGTACACTGACCACTGGGGGTAGGTGGATCTGGTGTATAAGTTCTTCCAAGTAATTCTTTCCTGATCAATCTCAGCTGCTCAAACAGCAGAATTATCTTATCTTACATAAACATACGCATATTGTGTAAATGTTTTGTTCTCTTGTTTTTGTGAACAGGCCTATCTGTGAATGTTTTTTTATCTTGTTTTTCTACAGCCTATGTGTAAATGTTTTGTTTTTCCAGGAGAGTAAAGCAGTCTAGAGACGCCTACATCAAAAGATTGAACGGCATTTATGAGACCAACTTGGGGAAGGTGTGTATGGTGTTTGTTCACAGAATTTTTCATCCTCTATACATTGTGAATGAAACGACAAATTGTAGATGTTGTGTAGGTGAAGTCATGTCATGTTTCTGTCTATGAGAGTGAAGTCATGTCATGTTTCTGTCTGTGTCTGTGTGAGTGAAGTCATGTCATGTTTCTGTCTGTGTCTGTGTCAGTGAAGTCATGTCATGTTTCTGCCTGTGTGAGTGAGAGTGGAGTCATGTCACCACCATACACAGCTGGTAATTCCCCTTACGTGTGTGCTGTCACGTTGTTGTTGTGTTGGGTGGGTGGTTGGCGGGTCCTTTCCTGTCGTTTGCTTCTTCCTTCCTGTCAAACATCTATCGTCCTGAACTCTCCTCCTTCTTTTTTTGTGTTTGTAACTCTCTTGTAACGCCTCTAATCTTCGGCACTTATATGACCTTATTGTGTTGCTAGTGCCGTAAAACGCTTACTAAAAGTAAAACTGTTGTTTTGGTCTTGAGGACAAATGCGCTCATACGACCTTATGCCGTTGCGAGCACCGTAAA